TTCTGAAATAATGGAATGGAAAATGAATGAAAATTTAGTAGATAATGATAAATGGATTTAGAAATTAAATTTGTAGCGAAGAAAAATTTTTTATAACAAATTACTTACAATTGGACCAACCAGCAGCAAATGTTGAAAAGAAAAGTAATGCATTATTACGAGTATAAAGCATTGGAGAAAGTAGAATTTTAATGGAAAGATAAAAAATGAAAAGGAATTTGAAGATAAATCCATTTTGAATGATTCTGCTACGCCATAAAAGCAATTTTTGTAAAATAGTGGATTAATACAAAAGTCTCAGAGGTCATTATCTCGTGATCTAACGATCAGAATTTCGTGAAATCAGGACCATCGTGTACAATAAGACAGCGCTTAAAACCTATTCTAATTTTCCTAGTTTTTCCAAAAAATTTTTAATAAATCTGACAAAATTTTATGGTCCCAGAATTTTTTCGGTCATAGCGCAGCATATTTCCGGAATAATTTTATATGCCGGTAAATATTAAATAATAGATTTCATATATTTTAAACGTAAAAATCAATTCTTTTATTTTAATAATATGGTTACAAACTCAATACATTTATTTAATACCAATGCGCCTTTTTTGATTACTCCAAATTACATATGCACGATCATAATTAAACTTTGAACTTTCTGGTCTTTTCAAAGAAATATGCATTAACATATCTAATATATTTGTTGCCAATGAGTTTCTATCTTTAGTTTTGATTTTATTCTGTTTACTAAAACCACACTCACATTCAACACTCGAAAAGAGAATACAGTAGACTATTTGAATTAATTTGATAAGATTTGGAAATATATCATTGTAATCTTGTATTAATAAAGGAAGAATTGTCTCTATATCATTAGAAGAAAAACTATTTGTAATAATTATTTTAAATCCCAGCCATTCTTCTCTACATTTGTTAATATCAAAAAGTGATAATTGAACATTATCATGGAAATTCAGATGTTCAAAATGCTTTAATAAATTTTCTAATTCATTATCTCCAAACTACAATAATTCTTGAGAATCTTTTGGCCATTCGCGAGGATTTAATACTTTCATAGAAGTAAATAATGACCTATTAGGAAATCTTTGTTGAAGTTCATTAATAACACTTGTTGCATAATCATGTATATCCATTATAAAATCATCACCATCTTGTTCAACAAATGAAAGTTCATTATCCATATATGTTATTACAGAATTTCCAAATGGATTCGTTTCATCAATAAATGCCTGAACTTTTCATCCAAATCTTTGGTTTTGGTCTATTAGAATATATTCTTTTTGAATAGAATTAATTGTAGCCTGTATTATAGGATCTATATCAGAAAATTTTAAATTTTTTTTTTGTAGAAATTTACTTAATTGTGTTACATGTTCTAAAATATCATTAAAATAATATAAAAATGCAAGTGTCCTCCAAGATGTTAGCTGATTATATAATTCTTTTCCATTCTTTTTTTTTGATTCTTTGAAAATTTTAAGTAAAGCTGAAATCGAATCACAAATATTTTTAATAGCCTCATACCATGCAAGCCAACGTATTTCATATAATCTTTTTATCTTTAAAA